TCAGGAGTTGGAGGGACAGAGTGTCACTGGCTGGCCTGGAACTTGCTATATAGACCAGATTGGGCTTCTCACAGAGATCCACCTGCTTTTGTCTCCTGAATGTTGGGATTAAAGGCATGTGCCACCATGTCTGGCTTTGGTTTTTCTATTCCTTGACACTAACTGCCGGTGGCCATGTCAGAGGAGCAGCAGATGGCAATTGACTTCAGTCCACCAGTAAGCAAAACACTAATGGTTGCATCTCAGATGGGCCAGGCCACCCTGAGAGCCTAGCCCCAGAATGTCTCTTGCTGTGTCTTTGCATGTTTGGTGTTGCCATTTTCTCTGGTATCTGGCATGGTGTGAATAGACGTGACATGGAGAGATCTCCACTGCTCTCTCTCTCTCTCTCTCTCTAATTATTATTATTTAAATATTTATTTATTTATTATGTATACAGTGTTCTGCCTGCATATATCCCTGCAGTCCAGAAGGCACCAGACTACATTACAGAAGGTTGGGAGCCACCATGTGGTTGCTGGGAATTGAACTCAGGACCTCTGGAAGAATAGGCAGTGCTCTTAACCCCTGAGCCATCTCTCCAGCCCTCCACTGCTCTTCCTGTAGTATGAGTATCTCATGGAAATGTCCCACTCGTTCTATTGTGCATTTTTACCTGTGGATTATTATGAAAATGATTTCCTCCTAAACTGTACTGTTTAGCTGAAGCAGTGTTTTTATACAATAACGGTGTTAGCTTAAATAGAATTTTGATGATGGAGGGTTTTTAATAAATATAGTAAGGGATTGTGATAGAGGTTAATTTAATGGAAAATTAACGTAGGTGAAGGTAGGATAAAATGTTGCCCCTGCCCCTCATACAACAGTGGCTGTATACAATAAAAAATAAAACAAGGAAGTATCACACCCCTAGAACACATGAGTTTCTATCAAAGAGCCATTTGGACTGTGGCTTAGGTTAAAGATTAAGAGAAATAATTGAGTACCAGAAGCTCGGCTAGTTCAAGCTCTTTTAATCTTAATGTTGGGAGATGTGTTCACAGGTTTCAGTGTGTACCATAGCCAAAACAAAGCCCTAAAAATGACCCAAGGTTAGATTAAGATGATTTTGTTAAATAGCTTTGAGGTGAAAGGCCTAAGAAGACAATCTAAAATTTAGAAAGGCACATAGCTGAGTGAGGGACTCGTTAAGGTCAAGGAACAAGAACAAAGCAGTCCAATTATTATTGGGTTGATATGCCTTTCTTGATAGAATTGGTTGATGATCAAAGGTGATGATTAATTTCTTGTACTCATTTCTGCCCTCAGTTCCCTGATATAAAAAACTGTTGATGAGTGGGTATGCACCCTGAGGATTTAAAATAGAGCTAACTGGTTCTCTTTCATATAAAGTTTAGGTTTGTAATTCTTCTAAGATTTCTTATAAAATTACCTTTTGAGATAAATAATAAAATGATTGTCCTTTCTTTGTAACCACAAAATGCAGCCTGCCAATAAAAGAACTGTCCAAAAAAAAAATACCTTGCTTGCTTACACTCTGTTAATCTATTAAAAATTGCTTCTGTATAAATGTACATGGATTCTTGGGAATAATTTGTTCTTCACCTGTAATAGGTAAAATATTTAATCAAGAAGGGACTGAATCAGGTATAGAAAACATGCTTTTTTTACTTGTATTCATTGTAATCATTTACTTAAAAGATAGAATATAACCATATTGTAATTGTAATTTTTATATTGCTTGAAATATTCTACTGGGATATATAAGCTATAAGGGAAAAAATAAAAAAACATGAGAGAAGGAAAACACCAGGAAATATGTATAAGGAAGATATTAAGAGAGATAGAAGGGATACATCTGGATAGAGGTAAAAAAAAAAAAAAAAGAAAGAAAGAGGAGGAGCCGGGCATTGGTGGTGCAAGCCTTTAATCCCTTTAATCTCAAGAGGCAGAGGGAGGTGGATCTCTGTGAGTTTGAGGCCAGCCTGGTCTCCAGAGCAAGTGCCAGGATAGGCTCCAAAGCTACACAGAGAAACCCTGTCTCGAAAAACAAAAAATAAATAAATAATAAATAAATAAATAAAATAAAAAAATAAAGAGAAGGAACAGAGAAAGACCCTAAGTGTGTGTGTGTTTTCCTTTTTGTTTTTTGTTTTGTTTTTTTTTGTTGTTGTTGTTGTTTTTCAAGACAGGGTTTCCCTGTGGCTTTGGAGGCTGTCCTGGAACTAGCTCTTGTAGACCAGTCTGGTCTTGATCAGATTGCCTCTGCCTCTCCAGTGCTGGGATTAAAGGCATGTACCACCACCACCCAGCAAAGTTTTCCCTTTTTCTTTCTTTCTATTTTATTTTGTTTTGTTTTGTTTTGTTTTGCATTTAAGACAGGCTTTCTCTGTGTAGCCTTGGTTGTCCTAGAACTCTGTAGACCAGGCTGGCCTCAGACTCACAGAGATCCACCTGCCACTGCCTCCTCAATGCTGGGATAAAAGGCATGAGCCAATACCACCTGGCTTTATGGACCACTTTTAATGTATGTGATCCTTGCTTTTCAAATTGTCTTCTTTTTTCCCTATACATACATTATTCTCATGTATTAAGACCAAATTTGTCTCTTAGCATGACTGTCCAAGGAACTTGACTGTGGAAATTTGATGAAATGCCAGAGCTGAGGAGTCAGATAATTATTGTTTCTTCTTTGGGGAAGAAGGATTGTCAAATGACTTTTATACACATTTGGTTCACTCATTCACCATTAAAAAAAATAGTTATCTGGATGTTACAATCTACCAAGGACTGTACTGTGTATGGGACTCAAGTAGATATGGTCTCTGTTGCCATAGAGCTCAGTAAATGGGAGCCACAGATGTTTAAATAGTTACAATCAAGTGTGATAAATGAGGCCATAGATCATATACACTTCCATCTCACTGTTCATCATCACAGGAAGTCAAGACAGGAATTTAAACAGAATGGGAACCTGGAGGCAGCAGCTGATACAGAGGCCATGGAGGGGTGCTGTTTTTTGGCTTGCTCAATATGGTTTGCTCAGCCTGCTTTCTTATAGAACCCAGGACCACCAGCCCAGGGATGACACCACTTACAATGGGCTGGGCCCTGCGCCAAGATCACTAATGAAGAAAATGCTCTACCACCAGATCTTATGGAAGCCTTTTCTCAGTTAAGGTTCCCTCCTTTCAGATAACTCTAGTGTGTGTGTGAAGCTGACATAGCCAGTGCATGGGATAAGGGAGATAATACATAATCTCAGATACATTTATGAAGATAATTTACAAGGCAATCTTGTAAGGGGTTGATTCTAGATAGATATAAGTAATTTTGTCCTCCAATTTCCTAATTGTAGCCAGAGTAATTTTGTAAAAGTAAAGATCTGATAAGACATTTTGCACCTTGTGAAAGGCTGTTTTTGAATTGTCCCCTCGTTTCCTTGCCAGTCTCATCATAAGTTCTTTTCCTGAATTATTATTATTATTGTTGTTGTTGAAATGGGATCTTGTTGTATAGCTCCAACTATCTTGGAACTCACAGTGCAAAACAGGCTAGCTTGAGCTTCAGGTGATGTTCCTGACTCCTTGGGTTTCTTGTCACACTTTAGGGGCTCAGCGTTAGATGTTCCCCCCCACCTCCCACCTAAGATACTCCTAACAAAAGGCGACTTTCTCTGGGAAGCTTTTCTAGTATGCTAACTCAACTAGCTTCCCATATATGTTTGCAAAATATTCTGAACTGCTCCACGTCTTATTTCCTTAGATAAAAAGCTGAGGGCAGAAACATAATTATACCTCATGCAATGCAGAGAATGCCAAGTAGTAGCTGTACTCATGTACTACTTGAATGAAAGAACAGGCTGTCTTTTATTTTTTGTTTTTCTAGACAGGATTTCACTGTGTAACAGCCTTGGCGCTGTAGACCAGGCAGGCCTCAAACTCACAGAGATCCACCTGCCTCTGCCTCCCTTAAAGGTGTGAGCCACCACTGTCCGGCCTGCCTTTCATTTTTTAAGTTGAAATGTAAAATAAGTCTGATGAAGTAAAACAGACGTTTGTCTTAAATGACACCAAATTACAACATTTCAGGTTGCTTTCTTAGGAAAATGTATCTCATGAAGAAAAATAAACCATCGTCATCAAATAAACCAGACCCTATCAAAGAGGACTCAGCATAGAAGACAGAGTACTGGGGAAGCAGGGCTTAATGACTTAGGAAATATCATTCATTCTTAGCCTGGTTCTTAGGACTGGGAACAGAGGTAGGTTCTGTCTTCCACAATCCTTGCCATTAAACCTACAGGCTCATCGGAAGGAATTCCACCGAGAGTGGTGAGCGCCGATAAAGAAGGCACACCATTGTTAGTAAATATCTTAGTGGGGAAGTGAGTAGGAGGGATGGAAGGATGTGGGAAGGACCGGGTGGTCAGGGAAGCCTTTCCGGTTTAAGCTGAGGTCTAGAAGATGAGCACAAGTCCTGGCCCGGTGGACAATTGACACGTTCAATAACCCGGATTTGAGATCCCATGGAGACTCAAGGGCACCTTGGCCGGGCCTGGCTTTGTGATGACCCCTGCTGGGAAGGTCGTTCTCATTGTGAGCATCCCTCGGGCAAGGCGACCACGTCCGGCAATCGTGCTCCCCGCTCAGAGTGGGGTCTGCTGCCAGAGACCAACTCCTCCCCACCGCCAGCTTCCCGGAGCA